CAATATATGTCCTATTTTTCCCTAGAGAGCGCTGGATTTGGAGTCATAGACTTGCCTTGCTATTTAGAAACTGTGTTTGGGAGGGAGGCACTTACCCTCTTCTGAGCCTCAATTTCTTTATCTGTGAAACAACGATAACCTACATCATGAGTTACTGTGAGAATATAAAAAACGAACATCAATTACCTTTGTAATTTCATTATTTTCTCAATAGCTCTTTGTTTATTTCTGTTTTTAAAAAATCATGTCACAGCGTTAAGAGAAAACAGAACTAAGAAGCTCCTTGAAAGTAGGGCTTCCTTCCCAATACTCTGGCAGACTATCAATAAATGTTTACCCAATGAAGCACTTCATTTCACAAACGACATTGCATCCTGAGGGTTACAAACGTTCCCAGTCAACTCACACATAAAGCCTTTAGCTACCTATACACTAGGTATTTAACAGGCACCAAAACCCTAGAACTCCATAGTGGGCCGAGGTCACGCAATCAAGGGAACACCAGGAGGTACGGTCAACCAACCTGTGACGCACTTCCGGAGCGACGCTTTCCCTCCACGCTGGGACTGGGTTGTGGGGGAGGGAGGCGGTTAGTGGGCTTTAGCGCCTTTTTTGGCGGCGGTAGATTTGAAGCGCTTTAAAGGACGGGACCCTGGGAAGAGGAGACTGTACTGGTGCAGGTAGGTGGCGTGAAGCCCGTGTTGTTTCGGTGGCGTCCTTCGCAGCCGACCCGGGATAGGAGAGCGGGAAGGGCCCAAGAAGAGGGGCGGAGCCGGCACGATAGGCCCTGCCGAGTTAACCGTCTTCCCCTCACGGTATCTGGCTACCTGGTTCCAGAAGGGACCCCCAAGGACCGTGGCGCTGACTTTGCAGCTATTGCAGCTGAAGAAGGCTTCCAGCCGTGCCTCCCAGGCCTGGGAAACGTCCCTCCCCCTGCCAGCCCCCGCCCTCTCGATTCGGGCGCACGCCTCCCTCCCTGACGCATTTTGCCGCACAAGCTGTAATATGGCGGCAGCGACGGCGGCCTGAACTCTAGAGAGCCAGTGTGATTTTTGATGCTTCAAAATTGTAAGACAAAGCACTAAAGTGGTGTAGGTGGGAGGATTGGTGGGAAAGGGGGAGGCGTAACCTGACGTTCTGACAGGTTAGGGTTGGAGAGTGGCGGGCGAGGAGCCTGAATCACCAGTTAAGATTAAAGACAGGCTTTCCTTCTACTGCGACCTTTTCCTCTCAGACAGCGTCTTCTGTGCATAGGTGAGTGGCACAGGCCACTTAGTTAAGCATTCTCCTAAAACTCAGATCCAGGCTGTTTTCCCTCGTCCCAGAGCTGTCTCCAAGTTCTCTCACGTTCCCGAGGAGCTTTGAGCAGCGCAGGCCTTTTAGGAGGAAGGTGATGTCTTCGGAGCTTCATATGCCTTGGGGGTAATTGTGCGAATTTGGCTCATCTTTAGCCTTAACGAGCTAAGTCGAGGTCTGCGGAAATGAAGAATTTCTAGTCGTTTTAGAAATGTTATAAAAGCATCATTTTGTGCATTGATTTTAATATCTCACAACAGTACTTTCTGTGCAGGATCAAGTTTTTGCAGTAGTGAGAGCAAGTACGTCCAAGGAACAATTAAATGGTTTGGAAATTTGAGGTACGTCAACTTTCAGTGGCTAAAACCAGATTGGGGGAAAATACGTGTGTGTCTATATGTGTCCCTCTTTGGCAAAGAATGGACAGTAATTTACAGGTTCGGAAGGATGATGGGGAGGGGAGTTTGTGAACATTTTTGAAACTGTGTCATAAAATCCAGAAAAGCACAAATATCTAGAATACTCGCTTTTCTCACTGATAATTTGCTATGTACCCGAAAATTTACCCGTTTTAGCATCCCCCTTTTATTTTGACCATTTGAGATGGGATTATTTTTATAACAAATTACATCAGTCTTAGAATTCACTTTACATTGTTTAATGTTTTATGATTCAGGAATATTGGTGCCCTGGGATCCTAATGGGTCTTGTCTTATAGCAGGATTCTGTGCCTTTTTAAAAAAATTATGTTTGCTTTTTATGGTGTTGTGTTTTGTTTTGTTTTGTTTTGTTGTTGCAAGCTGTTGGCAGGGTTGCCTTCCCCTGCTGTCAGGAGTGTACAAGTTTGCACACTTCCTAGGTTAGAAAATTTTGGTTTGTTTCTGGCTCAACCATCTTTCTCAATCTCAGTTTTTTCATCTATAAATTGATTTCAGACTATCATCAGTTGTGGGCTTCAAAAATAAATATTCAAGTTTGTTAAAATTCTGTGTAAAATTGGCTTTCAGTAAGAACTCAGAGGTTCTATGAGCGAAGTGAAGTTACATTTATTGTGACTTATTAAAGGTCTGTAGTTTTTGTTGCTTCTTATTGTGGTCTTGCAGTATTGTTGGCCTCTAAGTAAGGTCTTTGTACTTTTGCATATTTTAAATTTGATTTTTCTAACAGGCAGCATTCATTCTTTATGCAACGGGAAATTGGTAGCCATTCATAATAGGATGAACTAGTTCCAATAGTTATTAGGACACCATCTGCAATTCTTTCAGTGTTGCTCTTTTAAGAAATACATGTTGATTGGTGTTTTTTCCTTACTTTACTAACAGGATATTTCAGCAGAATTATAATGTATTATCTACTTTTAGTATCCTAATGTATAATGTACTAACGTGTCTTGGGAATCAGATAATTCAAGTGATTTGAAAAGTTTGTTGCAAATCTCTGCTACATTGAGGTATTACACCTTTTTTTGGCTTTAATATTAACAACAAGCTTCAGTTTTCATTTGATTTTAGTGTCAATGAATTTGACCTGGTTTAATGTATATACGGTCTCCATAACAATTCGGCATTGTTTTATTTCTATAGGGCAAATCTTGCATCTGGAAATTTACTACAGGCAGTATTATAAAAACTCAGAGAAAACAGTTGTAACTGGGACTTTGTACTGTTAGTGCCAAACAGGAAATCTTTAGCACTTTGTTTTAGTTTGAGTGGTGGCTTAAAATAATCACCAACCTCTTCCTGAAATTTAATTGCATCATACTTATAAATATAGGCATCAATTTTTTATATAAATATGGTTATTTTTAAAACATGAGATTTCTTATCTCATTGGTTTTTAAAATGAATGAAATTGTTTATCAAGACATTGTTAATTATGTAAAATCTCAGCTTAAGGTTTATTCATAATTAAATCATTGCGTTATAGTCATATGGTGGAAAATTAAATAAGCCATTACCTGGAATATTTGTGGATAAACTCGTTTCTACAGTAAAGCTGTAGAGTATTTAACAAGAAAACTCTTG